GTTCTGGACAACCACACTACATGATGTTCAGGCCTTGTGATTTCCTTGAATATTTCTCTTCTGGAAACTTCCAAAGGCATTCATTCGGACCTCTCCTGGGTTCAATTCCTGTTACGGTAATAACAATAAGGATCTTAAGCGGCAATCGAAATTCTAAATATCAGCTCTTAATAAATCAGTTGGGTCACTGAAGGAGAAAAATATTGTAAAATTAGGGATGGTGCAATTTAGGAGGTAACCCCCCCCCCACCACCCTCCAACAGGAAGAGCTGTACCCTCTTCCTGTTACAGAAGAAAACCACAAATCATTGGTGAAGGAAAAAATAATTCTATGTAATTTCTACAATTTAGGGACTCTAAAATCAAATAAATAAATTTAAAAAAAAATTGTTAGGACCTGAAACAAGAAGACAATAAGGATGCTGATGATGATGATGATGATGATGGTAATAATAATTTTGATTCCTACTCTCGGCATCTTGAAGCTTCTTCAAGGCTTTACACACCGGCGTCTTAATGCGGACATTCTTCCCTTGGAATCTAACTATTGTAACGCTGTATCAATGATATTAAATAAATGATAGAAATGATAAACATTGCCAAGATTCAATATAAATTTATTGCAAAAAAAATTAAATGTCTTGAAATACAGTTGAACTTTTGTACTTGCTTAAATCAAATATAAAATATTGGATAAAATTCAACTTACACATGGTTAATTAAGTGAAAGCACAACAATTTGGTAAAATAAATGTAAATGTAAAATAAGATTGAGTTAGAAATTAGGCAAAGTCGACTTTTGCAAGTTTAACTGTATACAATTCATATAAAATCAGAGCCATAAAAACACTAATAGTAAAACACTAAAATTAATGAAATGCTACATTCTCACATAAAACATTTAAAAAAAAATCATTTAAATGTATTATTTACAAAAGAAAATATTACCATCAAAACAATAAATAATAGTAGTAGTATTTATAGTAATATAATTTAATAATGTGTGGTCATTAAAAAGCCGAGACAAAATCACTAGTGAATCTGAGTCAAATTCCTTTGGCCTGCTGGGCTCACGCTAACCGATCGACAAATCGCCATGGGCGAAATCTATTTAGGATTGGCAAAAAAAAAAATCAACTGCTTTAGCCATTTTGACAAAAGCCTAAAATAAAAAAAAAAGTTTTAAATACTTTCTATTAATACCTTTTTTTTTTTTCATTTGAACTCAATGTGATGCTTATTTGTCTTGTTGTATGAGTAGTCTTGCTGGAAACCTCATTGCGTGCCTTGCAATTATTTTTTATTTGTAATTGTTATTTTGACACGGTAGATGCAGGGCAGTGGCTGTATAGTGTAGACTAATATGAAGGCACCACTAGCTTGGGTTTTTCCACTAAAACATGACAAGGGCCGATGATGCGATGTGATGGTGGTCGAAACAGTAGGCAGGGGTTTATTTAAGAGCCGGCGGCCGGCATTCGATCGGCTACTACGATGTTTTCGCCGGCTACTTCAATCAATGCTGTACAAAAATGAATACAAAAACCACCAATATAAATAGCGCAACAGGTCTGTAAAGAACCTTATTTACCTACACGAAGTTAATTTGCAATAGTATGCACTCATTTCGATGTTCCTTTCTGTTGAAAGTTCGTTAAAATGTCTACCAATTTTCCGACTCCATTTCATGAACTCGCGGCGTAAACAAAGTTAAAGTTCAAAGTTCGGCAGTCGTGTCTGGGTGAGTCCATCAAAGAAGCCACGCCTCCAAATCACATGTTAGCCAATAAGATAATAGAAATTTCTCCTCCACCACATGCTCAGGTGATGACGATATACGTCGCCCAAACTCTTTTACTGTACATTGGGCTTCCGGGTTTTCTTACCGCGGAGAAGAAAAAAACAGATCGTCGTTTTAAAATTAATTTGTGTATGACTATGAACCTTTTATTTTCATTTCATTTTTATTTTACTAGCCCTCTTTGTGATGACATAGATATTTCGGAAATGATAAATAATTAAAAAAATACCAACACTGGCTCAAATTCGTTTACATTCGGTGGCGGAGGTAGCAAGCCGAACCAACTATATTGAATGCTGTTTACACTCACAATTTCCAGAGTCATAGATAGTACAATGATTAAAACGGCAGAGCAAGCCAAAATCGTCTTAATTCACATCACATGAGACATTTTTTTTTCCAATGTGGTATCCATTCCTTTTCGATATCTGCGTAAATTTTAGAACTATTTTTTGCTCTCCTTTAGATGTTTTCTTCAAC